TAATTTTGTTTAAATTATTGTGCTCCCTTCTATATTTGTTTTTCCTGTGTGTATGTATAATATACTTAAATAATAATTTTCTGCGTACGCCCATGACACCACATAATGATGATCGAGGCGCATGCGCACTTTCAGGAAATCTTAATAGACTTCACATGACTTCTATATACTTCATCATGACTTCCATGGACTTCACCCTGACTTCCATGGACTTCTTCCTGACTTACATGGACTTCATCATGACTTCCATTGACTTCTATGGACTTCCTCCTGACTTTCAAGACTTCTCACTAACTTCAAAGAACTTCCATGGACTTCCATTTATTTCCAAGGGACTTTCTTGAGTCTGTACACCAGACTTCCTCAGCGGTTTACCCCTCGATTACTTGGTAGATTTTCTCATGTGTTAATCAGTCCTTCATGCCAGATCTGGTCGAATGCCTAGGCTAAATTCAAAAATTTTGCTGAACACAATATTTGCTTTTATTTACCTCACACCTTGTTGTTGACTTACTTGAAGAGCACGTCGCATTCAGTTAATACAATCTGTATTGGGAAGGTGGCGTATGTGTCTAAGGCGCTCGCATTCATTTGCGAGTAATTTAGTGGTTGAGAGACACCCGGCTTCAAATCCTACAGAAAACCATGTGAATTTATTTGCATGGTTCTCTATAGGATTTGATGAATGTATTAGCAGAAATTTAATTTCTATTGATATGCCATCCAGATTATAAAAATCGCCATGCGTTACTGTTTCGATGATGGTGGGTGGGGTTTTCCTGTGAGTTAAATGGCACCATCCATCATATTTAAGTCGCCCCAGAGCGCCACGGCAAATAATAATAATAATAGTCGTCCCTTCCCCTATTCAAGTCGCTCAGTCAGTTTCAGGGGCGTGAAATTCACTCGTAAGGGGGTGAATTAGAGGGAGTATTATATTAATATTACATTATTATAAAAAATATTATATAGGGTGGCTCACGCTCAACGGGACGGAGCTTTATGTGAAAACGACCAAAGATATAAAAAATTCGTTTGGGAGGAATACGTAGATTACATACGGCTACAATTTAAAATTTGTTAGATGTATACAGGATGTCCCACATAAATGAAAAAAAATTAGTTCATTAAAAATTATTCAAACAAGAGTAAACAATTAATTTCTGGGAGACTTTTTTTCCTTAAAAATTCAAATAAATCGAAAACTAATAATAATAGTAATAGGGAACCTTTAGTTAACTGACATTATTTTTGATGTAGTTTTTAATTCTAAAATAAAAAACGGGGTGTTCCATTAAAAATAATATAACTTTGTATATTTTCTCTTATGTGGGACATCCTGTATACATCTAACAAATTTTAAATTGTAGCCGTCTGTAACCTACGTATTCCTCCCAAACGAATTTTTTATATCTTTGGTCGTTTTCCCATAAATCTCCGTCCCGTTGAGCGTGAGCCACCCTGTATATATGAAAACAGTTTTATCTTACATTTCACAAAAAAAATGATGCTCGATAAAATGTTCAGCATCACTTGGAAATCCATAATCAAGCATGACATTTTTAAAATTAAAAAATTTCCATTACACACTTTAGTATTGCTTGTGGATTATTATTTTTTATTGAATAAAGTAAATCGAAAACACTTAAAATTAAGTGCATTGATTTAAAAATAAGTACTTATTTTAATTCCTATTAACATTTTAATTAATATCTTGCTCTAAATTTAGTGATGCAGAACATTTTTTCAAAAACATTTGTTTTTTTTAAACATACAATTTTTCTCATGTGTATGAAAAATTTTGGGACACACTCTATAATAACAATAATATCTGAATACACTTTCTTGTTAACGACATGCTCCAAGATCACGTCGCAATCCGTTATACAGTGTGTTTCAAGAAGTTTTATACATATGAGAAAAAGTTTCGTTTTTTCAAAAAAATTATTATTACTGTTAAAAGTTCTGCATCACTTTGGAATCCATAATCGAGTCTTATTACTATCGTCTTGATTAGTATTCAATAACTTCAAAAAAAAAATAATCTCTATTCCTATTTTCCCTGTTTTATAAAATGTTTGATTAAGGATTCTTAAGTGATGAAGAACATTTTATCAATACTATTTTTTTTTAAATATATGTTATTGATCGATAATAATGCAAGCTTCTCTTTTATAACTTTTTAATTTTACAAAGTCAGAAAAATCGTGACAATCAATAATTAATTTTTTTTAAAAACATCAGTCGTCGTCTTGACTTCCACACGTAAGAAGTAAGTAGCACCTAGGCTGGTGTACATAGGGTGGTGTATATAGGATGGTGAACAACCTTATTTCTACCACATACTATTTTTTTTTCATGCGTATAAACATTTTTGAGACACACTGTATAATAGATTGCGACGTGCTCGAGCTCGTCGTTATTGAATACTTAAAATCAAGACGAAAGTAATAATATTTGATTATGAATTCCCGAGTGATGCAAAACATTTATCGAAAAAAATACATTTTTTGAAAAAACAAAACTTTTTCCCATGTGTATAAAATTTTTTGAAACACACTATGTAATGGATTGCGACGTACTCTTCGAGCACGTCGTTAACAACAAAGTGTATTTAGATATTATTGTTAACGACGTGCTCGAAAAGCACGTTGCAATCTATTATACAGTGTGTCCCAACAAATTTTATACACATAACAAAAAGTTGTATGTTTAAAAAAGCAATTATTATTGATAAAGTGATGTGCATCACATTGCAATCCATACAAATATAAAAGAATAAAATACTTTTAAATTTTAATACAGACAAAGTGTATTCACCAATAATGTGACGAGCTCGAAGAGCACGTCGCAATCTATTATACAGTGTATGCCAATTTTTTCTACACACATGAGAAAAAGTTTTGTAAAAAAAAAACAATTATTATTCATAAATTGTTCTGCATCACTTAGGAATTTATAATCAAACATATTTTGTAAAACAGGAAAAAAAGAAATAGATATTTTTTAGTTATTGAATACTTAAAATCAATATTAATAATACTTTAAACAAAAAACAAAACTTTTTCTTGTGTGCATAAAACTTTTTGGAACATACATAATATACTATATAATAATGGATTGCGACGTGCTCGTCGTTAACAACAAAGGGTATTCAGCAATCAATTATATTATATAGTGTGTGCCAAAAGTGTTTATACACATGAGAAAAAAAAAAGAATTATTATTGATAAAATGTTCAAATGTTCAAAAAAAGCACAAATATCTATTTCTATTTTCTAAGAATAATTTTTTTGTAAGATAAAAAGTTTTCTCATGCGTGTATAAAACTTTTTAAAATATGTTGTGTAATGGATTACGACGTCGTTAACAACAATGTGTTTTCAGATATTGTTGTTATACAGTATCTCCTAAAAAGTTGTATAGACATGGTATAGTATTTTGTTTTTCAAAAAAAACTATTGTGTAAGTCCAACAATTTTATAAATTGCAATAAACCAAAAAAATGGAAGATTCTTTTTTGATTTTTGTTTCAGTAGCCAATGAATTTTTTTATATTTTAATTTAAGTTTTCTTTTTTTTCCTTTATATTTGCTTTCCATTTTAATCAAACATAGCCAAGCATTTTATTGTATAGTATTGTCTCCTTATATAGTTATATAGTTATTGATTTACTCTCATTTCTTCTTGTTTCATTCAGTTACACTGTTGGGGTTTATCTATATTTTCGTTTGCTATCATGTCACGTCCCTCTGCTAGGATAGCTGCATCGTCAGCATAAGTGGTGATCGTCACATGTTCGGTTTGTGATATATCACAAGTGCATAATAGGTAAAACACTGGTCCTAACACGCTACCTTGTGGTACACCTACGTTAATATATTTTTTTTCTAGAAAATGATTTCTTCTGTTTGACATACTTGACTAGTAATTTAAGGTTTTAAAATTTGAGTAAATTGTATTGGTAGCATTTTTTCATGTTTATTAAATAGTCCTTGTCAGACCTGGTCGAATGCGTACATCCAAAAATATTGCTGTACATATTTGCTTTTTCTTGTAGGCTTTTTCAATTATTTCTTTTATGTGGAGAATTTGGTCAATTGTTAAATGCTTGTTTCCAAACCCAAACTGATGCGTAACAATTCGTTTTTTTTATAATGAGAAGAGTTAGTAACTTCAGCAGTAGTTTTTCGAATAGTTTAGACACAATTGGTAATAGCGATGATGCTTTATTTGAAGGTTTTCCATTTTTAACAATCATTATTATATCCGCTACTTTCCAGGCATCTAGTACATGTTTTAACTGAAATGCTGCATTTATTAGTCAAGTTTTATTAGTGCTTTTATCGGTAGCTTCTTAAGAATTTGTCCGGTTATAAAGTTGTAGCCGGGACCTTTTTTGGATTTGTGTTATTTTCATCTACTAGTTCTTTGGGTGTTATTGTATTGATGTCTAAATATTCAACTTTATATGACAGTAATCCCTGTATGCTATTATTTTCGTTTGGCTAAAAAATTTTCTTGATTTTACTTGGCCCAGCTTCCATTTGCAGCACTGATTGGTGTTACTGTGTGCCAGTGGCTTTTTAATTTTTTTCCAGAAGAAATAGTTTCACTACCTTCAGTTAGTTCATTTATGTATTCATTTTTTAGATATGCAATTATTTGTCTTCCTAATTTTTGCGAGGCCCTCCTTAGTCTTGTTTTAACAACTGTTACTCTTGTTCTTTGACACTTTTTTATTAATTTTCTTATTTCAGATACTAGTTGTCTTATTTCAAGAAGATAATTGCTTCCCATTGTTAATCTCTTGATTTCAGATACATTTAACCAAACAATCTGTTGAAACTCAAAATTTACATTTAATAATTATTTTGTCATATTATCACTGATGATAAAAATAAATGAATTGTCTTTAGATCGAGCTATCTTGGCGGCCACTCTACCTCTAGGTGATTGTCAAAGAATACGTTTGGTAAAATTATAAATAAATATTTTAGCGCAGCAATTCCATCTCAGCCATGGATCTTGCCAAACGACACAGACGAAAACAACGATTATGCCAAGATAGGATACCAAGCGGTATATACCTTACTTCCTTTAGCCGAAACCGACTTTGAAGCCGTATCCAATCAAGACCAAATGGGATCAATGTGGTTAGATGGAGTGCACGATGGATGGTTGATGTACATCCAGGCACTGTACGAATACACAGGACATTTCAATTCTTCAATTACTAAAGTCTTTGCTTGTGAAATCGTTTACCAAATGATGGGTAGGAACTTTACAGGTATGTCCCAAACACCCAGGATTGCTCCGTTATAATCAGTGTCCTAGCAGAATATATTATATTAACATAAGCGTGTTCCAGATAAATATGACAAACCATTTCAAATGAATTGCAACGGAATTAGAACACGCGATGTAGCTTTTGTCCATATGAACGCAAAAGGAGAATACCAAGTAATGGCAACGTACTCCACGAGAGACAAACAAGTGCACGACTGGAACGTAACTTGGACGTTAGGCGAACCAAAAGATATTCCGAAATGTGGATTCGATCTGTCTAAATGTCCTAGTGAGTAAGAAATTCATTTAGAGTATTTTTGTTTTTATTGATTTTTTTTAGCGTACGATGTTGTGAAGATTCTAGTGGTCACTCTTATCGTTGTGATTATTTTGGGCATGTTGGTGGTTGCAGTAATCTTATACAGGTACGTCAACAACAATTTTGTCATTATACCTGTAATTATGATATTTGGTCTATTTTGATGTTATTTTGACGACAGCGCTGTGTGTTCGAAAGTGTAGTCTCCGTATTATAAAGGTACCATTTCGGTAGGCGCGACAGGAGACAACAGAAACGACGGCAAAGGCGACTGAGAACGGTCTCTTCACGTCTAAACACATGCAATTATATGAAACACATTTCGCACGGCGCTACACTTCCGAGAGACAGATCTCGACGAAGTAAGTCGGTCTGGGAGTATCGTTTGCTGTCTATCTCCCTTAGTCATTGCTTGTATTTGGAGGATATTAGTCGATATTTTATAGAAATGGTAGTTGCATTCTTTCGATCTAGGCAGTGTTGCCAGATGAACATTTGCTAAAACAGTATGGGTGAAAAAACCGAAGAACAGTAGATTTAAATACAGGGGGAAATAATTGTAATTTACAGTGTAGTAAATAAAAAAAAACAAGTATATAAGAAACGAAAAATAAACATTTTTCTACCCAAATTAGAAAGTAAACAAAGAATAAAAACAAATAATAACATTTTTAATATATACTTAACGTACGGAAACAAAAAAGAAACCAATGAAAAATAATAGGTATTTCTTTTAGATCAGTCTGAATCAGATAATTCAAATACGTTGTGTTTGGCATGCATGTTCTTTTTATGATGCCCTATTAATGCCCTTTGTTGCATTTTAAATTAAAACATAATGATTATCTTGAGGTTTTTTTATGGAGCCAACCTACAGTAGTGAATGCTTATTACGCTGATTTTACTTCAGTAAATTTACTAAGTTGGTGAAAACAGTAGATTTCATGCTTAAAACAGGAGAACAGAGACAAAAACAGTGGATCTACCTAAAAACAGTAGGTCTGGCAAAGCTGATCATTCCCTCGAATAGTTGTCTGCGGGTGTCGTGTCACCTGTCTCCTTACTTCCCAAATGTGCGGAGCGTAACAATAATGCATCTGTCGTACTTGCCGTCGCCTCTGTTGTTTCCTGTCTCCTGTCGCGCTTACAGAAGTGGTACCTTAAAGCTACCATTTCGCAAGCCGAGCCAGAGACCGACTTTAAAACGCGCCGCGACAGCAAGCGAGACCCTAAACAGTCTCTTCACATCTGAACACATGTAATTATATAAAACACATTTCGGTAGAAGCGACATCAGATTTAGTATGGCAATATTTGCCGCCTTACTTCTGTCTCGGTCTCGCGTCGCTTGTCGCGCGTTGCCAAATGGTACCTTAAATGTGATAATCAGTAGCGCAATGATTTAATATTTATAGATTAACATACAGTTGTGTAAAATAGTTTTTCTTTATATTTGTGTTTTAATTCTTCCGTATATCTTAAGAGCAAACATGATAACTTTAAGAATCCCCCTTTTCTTTTTATTCGATTTTTCAGAAATTTTCATTAAATAGTCAAAAATAACAAATTTGGGATTGAAAAACTTGATTTTCTGAAAACCTTTAAAAAGTATTTATTTTGTTTCGTTAAATCGATGTACATGTCAATCTGTAATAAATCTATGAAAATTTGCTAATTTTTGTTTTAATAAATATCTAGTTTTTAAGTGCAAGGGTTGCCCACCTTGTCTTAAATATTTGAAATGTGCTGCCTTCTCGCTGCATAAATTTAAAGCTCTCAATTTTCTCAGACACATTCCCTTGCTTCAGGCGAAGTATTTCCAGTGGCGTGCTTATAAATACAATTTTATATTAGAAAAGAAAATATTTCGTTTTGTTAATGGCATGAAAGAGTTTGTTTAAATTTGTACAAGATAAATAAAATTTTATACAAGATGATCAACAATCCTATAGAGCTACACAAATAAAATATGTATATTTTTTTTTTCGAAAACCGTCGCAGATGAAACCAAACTACTGGAAATTTCAATACTCTGTAAATCTGTAACGTAGCGTTTTGGAACTTATATTTATATAACATTTTAGTCATGAAATGAGCCAAAAAAATATCCTTTTCCGTATGTACATGGTTTGACACCCTGTATATATCTGTTTGTTCAGAATGTGGCAAATGGAAATCCAAAAATCGACCTATTTCGAAGGTTTTCTTAAAAATGGATATTTTCTCTAAAAATGATCTTCCATATTTTACGGACACACTGTATATTGGTTACTAACAAAAATTAATATTTTAATGTGTCATCTTCCTATAAAGCAATAAAGTTTAAAATGAGTACACAATTCTTTTTTTTTTTTCACTCTTATTTGGATTTTTTCCTGCCAACCTCGAAAAGTTTCATCAAAATATCATGAACAATATAAAAAACTATATCTGGATAATGAAGATAGACATTCTCAAAACAAAATATAGTAAAAATCATACTTATATAGACCCCCTTGATACCCATTTTCAATCTGATTTTTTTCAGAATCAATAGACTTCGTTCCCTTACAAAGCTTGATTTTCCTGAAGATTTCAATTTGACATCGTTTTTTGTTTCGAGTTAGGATATTTTCAATATTTCAACCCTCCTTATCTCTCAATTTTTATTTATTTATTAATATTCATTTCCTTATAGAGCCTGATTATTACTAAACATTTTATGTTGATATCGCTTTTGGTTTTTGATATCTATTTTTTTTATTTCCTCCTTTGACACCCATTTTATTCAGAATTTTTTAAAATCAACAGGTTTTGTTGATCAATCTTCAATTAAAACATAAATTAAAATTGATTAAAACATAGATTAAAATATAGATTAAAATATAGATTAAAACATAGATTAAAACATAGATTAAAACATAGATTAAAACATAGATTAAAACATAGATTAAAACATAGATTAAAACATAGATTAAAACATAGATTAAAACATAGATTAAAACATAGATTAAAACATAGATTAAAACATAGATTAAAACATAGATTAAAACATAGATTAAAACATAGATTAAAACATAGATTAAAACATAGATTAAAACATAGATTAAAACATAGATTAAAACATAGATTAAAACATAGATTAAAACATAGATTAAAACATAGATTAAAACATAGATTGGATTAAAACCGATTGAAAAAGATTAAAATATACATTAAAATGGAATAAAACATTCATTTAAACATAGAATAAAATATATTATAAAACCTAAATTGAAACTTAGATTAAAACATATATAAAAAGATAGATTTAAACAGATTCTAAAATATATTTAAATAAAGATTAAACATAGATTAAAACATAGATTGAAACATAGATTGAAACATAGATTAAAACATAGATTAAAACATAGATTAAAACATAGATTAAAACATAGATTAAAACATAGATTAAAACATAGATTAAAACATATATTAAGATATAGAGTAAATTATAGAATAAAACATATATTAAAACATAGGTTAAAACAGATTACAACATAGATTAAACATAAGTTACACATAGATTAAACATAGAATAAACATAAACATAGATTAAAACATATCATAAACATATCTGGACGCAAAACATAGAACAGTATTTACTAAAAATAATTTAAAATTCATCTAGTAACGCCATCTACACCCAGTAGTTAGTTTGTAGTACCTGGTTAAAAAATACGAGCAATTTTTTAAAAGGAAACAAAGTCAAATTTGAGATTTTATTTTCATTTTAATTAGGTACTATTTGGAGGTTGGAAGTTCTAATAATTAAAATATGGGACAGCAGTTATGATATTTCTACTTTACTCGATGAATGCCTAGCGGTTTTCTTTAAGCTGATAATTTTTATTGTTTCAGACAATTTAAAATCAGACACGAAATAGAAGCGAGGGTTTGGAAAGTGAACTACGAGGATATTGTGTTTCCTCCAACGAAGCCCAGAGCTAGTTATTCATCGTTTTCGCAAAGGGTAAGAACTGTTTTAACACATTCCATGCTAATCAAAAATCGATTGCCCGGAGATGGCGGTATTTTAGAACGCGACTTGTTTTTAATACAATTAATATTAATGTTTTACTTAGAAAATTACTTATTTACATTTTGTGCCTATCGATCATAGTATATTAATCAATCATAATAAAATTCCTTTTGTGTAACATGCGTTATTGGATAAAAACATATTAAGAGTAAATGACGATCTTTAAACAATTCGTGTCTCATTTAATATCATATTAAAATAATTTTTTATTTCACTGAATCATCTGCATATTTTATACAAAGTGTTTAATACAGAATGTTAAATATTATAATTATGGGCTCAATGCCTAAATATTAATATTTCGCTAAATAACACTGAGTCAAATTTATCTCCTAGTATACTAGCTCAAACATTCTTTAAGAATATTGGGTGTGATCCTTTCGTAAAATACAAATAAGTTGAATTTCAACTATTTTTATGTTTAAAAAAACCTTTCAAACAGTTCCTCTAAATATTATTCCAAAATAATATTTAATTTTCAACAAGCTATAACTTTTCAAAAAATATTATTTTTTGTACGCAGTGTACAGACCTTTAATTTGAGGTATCACATAATAGAGGTGGCAATTTTAAATTTTGGAGTTGGAATAATTACCCCGCTTAAGATTAAATTTAGAAAACTTCTGTCACTACTAAACTGTTTCCCTCTCGATTCAAAGCTATAGTCAATCCAAAGTTTTGAAATTGTCACCCCGTATAAATGTTATCTAAAGTTATTATCACCTGTTTTACCGACGATTTGGATTCCATTTATTCCTGTGTATACACCTAAACGCATGTCTTTGTTTAAATGAAATTATGCCACAGGCACGTTCGAAAAAATGTTTTTTTCTTACTTTTAACAGATCAAATCAACTTCATTAAAAATTCATTCATATCACGTTTCTGGCAGAAAGGATAGGCCAGATCGAAGGTGAATATAGTATAGTAAAAAAATTAAATAGAAAGTAGAAATAAAAAATATGTATCCAAATGCACCAATATCTGACCCTCAACTGGTTTTGCTTCAAAAATGTCTTAGCAGATATTAGGTTTAAATTGATTATTTAGCATTAAACAGTCTATCATTAATAATTTAAAATAACTATAGATATCGGTTTTAAGTCTCCTTATTTCTAGAATATAAATATGATATTTAACTGCTCAATGGTGTTCAACTGCTCAAATCTACGTAAATAAACACTTAAACGATATATTATTAAAAATTTAAATAATTTTTTTTTATAATAAATGCATAATTAAAACATAAATAAACATACATTAAAACATATATTAAAACAGAATAAAAATAGATTCTAACATATATTAAAATAAAAATTACGAAATTGATTAAAACATAGATTAAAACATAGATTACAACATAGATTAAAACATAGATTAAAACATAGATTAAAACATAGATTAAAACATAGAATAAAACATAGAATTAAAAATAGATTAAAACATCTATTAAAACCTAGATTAAAACATCTATTAAAACCTAGATTAAAACATCGATTAAAACCTCGATGAAAACTTAGATTATAACAGATTGAAACATAGATTAAAACATGGATGAAAACAGATTAAAACATAAATTAGATTAAAAAAGATTGAAACAGAATAAAACATACAATAAAATAGTATAAAACATACAGTTAAACAGAATAAAACATACATTAAAACAGAATAAAATATACAATAAAACCTAAATTGAAGCATAGATTAAAACAGATATTAAAAAATATTCAAACATAGATTAAAACGTAGATTAAAACTTAAATTAAAAGATAATATAATACATAGATTAAAACGAAATAAAACGTAGAATAAATCATAGAATAAAACATAAAATAAAACAGATTAAAATAAAATAAAACATAGATTATAACATAGCCTAAAACATATATTAAAACACATTAAAACGTGGTTTAAATCAGATTAAAACAGATTAAAACACATATTAAAACAGGTTAAAACAGATTAAAACATAGGTTAAAACAAAGAATAAAAATAGATTAAAACATAGATTAAAACACAGATTAAAAACATAGATTAAACATACTTTAAGTAAAAAGTAAACATGAAATAAACATAGATTAAACATAGAATAAAACATAGAATAAAGCATAGATTAAAACAGAATAAAACAGAATAAAACAGACTTAAGCATATATTAAAACAAAGAGTAAATCATAGATTAAAACATATATTCAAATATGGGTTAAAACAGATTAAAAAACATAGATTAAACATAGATTAAATATAGATTAAACATAGATTAAACATAGATTAAACATAGATTAAACATAGATTAAACATAGATTAAACATAGATTAAACATTGGTTAAACATAGATTAAACATAGATTAAACATAGATTAAACATAGATTAAACATAGATTAAACATAGATTAAACATAGATTAAACATAGATTAAACATAGATTAAACATAGATTAAACATAGATTAAACATAGATTAAACATAGATTAAACATAGATTAAACATAGATTAAACATAGATTAAACATAGATTAAACATAGATTAAACATAGATTAAACATAGATTAAATAGATTAAACATAGATTAAACATAGATTAAACATAGATTAAACATAGATTAAACATAGATTAAACATAGATTAAACATAGATTAAACATAGATTAAACATAGATTAAACATAGATTAAACATAGATTAAACATAGATTAAACATAGATTAAACATAGATTAAACATAGATTAAACATAGATTAAACATAGATTAAACATAGATTAAACATAGATTAAACATAGATTAAACATAGATTAAACATAGATTAAACATAGATTAAACATAGATTAAACATAGATTAAACATAGATTAAACATAGATTAAACATAGATTAAACATAGATTAAACATAGATTAAACATAGATTAAACATAGATTAAACATAGATTAAACATAGATTAAACATAGATTAAACATATATTAAACATAGATTAAACATAGAATAAACATAGATTAAACATAGATTAAACATAGATTAAACATAGATTAAACATAGATTAAACATAGATTAAACATAGATTAAACATAGATTAAACATAGATTAAACATAGATTAAACATAGATTAAACATAGATTAAACATATATTAAACATAGATTAAACATAGATTAAACATAGATTAAACATAGATTAAACATAGATTAAACATAGATTAAACATAGATTAAACATAGATTAAACATAGATTAAACATAGATTAAACATAGATTAAACATAGGTTAAACATAGGTTAAACATAGATTAAACATAGATTAAACATAGATTAAACATATATTAAACATAGATTAAACATAGATTAAACATAGATTAAACATAGATTAAACATAGATTAAACATATATTAAACATAGATTAAACATAGATTAAACATAGATTAAACATAGATTAAACATAGATTAAACATAGATTAAACAAAGATTAAACATAGATTAAACATAGATTAAACATAGATTAAACATTGGTTAAACATTGGTTAAACATAGATTAAACATAGATTAAACATAGATTAAACATAGATTAAACATAGATTAAACATAGATTAAACATAGATTAAACATAGATTAAACATAGATTAAACATAGATTAAACATAGATTAAACATAGATTAAACATAGATTAAACATAGATTAAACATAGATTAAACATAGATTAAACATAGATTAAACATAGATTAAACATAGATTAAACATAGATTAAACATAGATTAAACATAGATTAAACATAGATTAAACATAGATTAAACATAGATTAAACATAGATTAAACATAGATTAAACATAGATTAAACATAGATTAAACATAGATTAAACATAGATTAAACATAGATTAAACATAGATTAAACATAGATTAAACATAGATTAAACATATATTAAACATAGATTAAACATAGATTAAACATAGATTAAACATAGATTAAACATAGATTAAACATAGATTAAACATAGATTAAACATATATTAAACATAGATTAAACATAGATTAAACATATATTAAACATAGATTAAACATAGATTAAACATAGATTAAACATAGATTAAACATAGATTAAACATAGGTTAAACATAGATTAAACATAGATTAAACATAGATTAAACATAGATTAAACATAGATTAAACATAGATTAAACATAGATTAAACATAGATTAAACATAGATTAAACATAGATTAAACATAGATTAAACATAGATTAAACATAGATTAAACATAGATTAAACATAGATTAAACATAGATTAAACATAGATTAAACATAGATTAAACATAGATTAAACATAGATTAAACATAGATTAAACATAGATTAAACATAGATTAAACATAGATTAAACATAGATTAAACATAGATTAAACATAGATTAAACATAGATTAAACATAGATTAAACATAGATTAAACATAGATTAAACATAGATTAAACATAGATTAAACATAGATTAAACATAGATTAAACATAGATTAAACATAGATTAAACATAGATTAAACATAGATTAAACATAGATTAAACATAGATTAAACATAGATTAAACATAGATTAAACAAAGATTAAACATAGATTAAACATAGATTAAACATAGATTAAACATAGATTAAACATAGATTAAACATTGGTTAAACATAGATTAAACATAGATTAAACATAGATTAAACATAGATTAAACATAGATTAAACATAGATTAAACATAGATTAAACATAGATTAAACATAGATTAAACATAGATTAAACATAGATTAAACATAGATTAAACATAGATTAAACATAGATTAAACATAGATTAAACATAGATTAAACATAGATTAAACATAGATTAAACATAGATTAAACATAGATTAAACATAGATTAAACATAGATTAAACATAGATTAAACATAGATTAAACATAGATTAAACATAGATTAAACATAGATTAAACATAGATTAAACATAGATTAAACATAGATTAAACATAAATTAAACATAGATTAAACATAGATTAAACATAGATTAAACATAGATTAAACATAGATTAAACATAGATTAAACATAGATTAAACATAGATTAAACATAGATTAAACATAGATTAAACATAGATTAAACATAGATTAAACATAGATTAAACATAGATTAAACATAGATTAAACATAGATTAAACATAGAATAAACATAGATTAAACATAGATTAAACATAGATTAAACATAGATTAAACATATTAAACATAGAAGAAACATAGAAGAAACATAGAAGAAACATAGAAGAAACATAGAAGAAACATAGAAGAAACATAGAATAAACATAGAAGAAACATAGGTTAAACATAGGTTAAACATAGATTAAACATAGATTAAACATAGATTAAACATAGATTAAACATAGATTAAACATAGATTAAACATAGATTAAACATAGATTAAACATAGATTAAACATAGATTAAACATAGATTAAACATAGATTAAACATAGATTAAACATAGATTAAACATAGATTAAACATAGATTAAACATAGATTAAACATAGATTAAACATAGATTAAACAAAGATTAAACATAGATTAAACATAGATTAAACATAGATTAAACATAGATTAAACAAAGATTAAACATAGATTAAACATTGATTAAACATTGATTAAACATTGATTAAACATTGATTAAACATTGATTAAACATTGATTAAACATTGATTAAACATTGATTAAACATTGATTAAACATTGATTAAACATTGATTAAACATTGATTAAACATTGATTAAACATTGATTAAACATTGATTAAACATTGATTAAACATTGATTAAACATTGATTAAACATTGATTAAACATTGATTAAACATTGATTAAACATTGATTAAACATTGATTAAACATTGATTAAACATTGATTAAACATTGATTAAACATTGATTAAACATTGATTAAACATTGATTAAACATTGATTAAACATTGATTAAACATTGATTAAACATTGATTAAACATTGATTAAACATTGATTAAACATTGATTAAACATTGATTAAACATTGATTAAACATTGATTAAACATTGATTAAACATTGATTAAACATTGATTAAACATTGATTAAACATTGATTAAACATTGATTAAACATTGATTAAACATTGATTAAACATTGATTAAACATTGATTAAACATTGATTAAACATTGATTAAACATTGATTAAACATTGATTAAACATTGATTAAACATTGATTAAACATTGATTAAACATTGATTAAACATTGATTAAACATTGATTAAACATTGATTAAACATTGATTAAACATTGATTAAACATTGATTAAACATTGATTAAACATTGATTAAACATTGATTAAACATTGATTAAACATTGATTAAACATTGATTAAACATTGATTAAACATTGATTAAACATTGATTAAACATTGATTAAACATTGATTAAACATTGATTAAACATTGATTAAACATTGATTAAACATTGATTAAACATTGATTAAACATTGATTAAACATTGATTAAACATTGATTAAACATTGATTAAACATTGATTAAACATTGATTAAACATTGATTAAACATTGATTAAACATTGATTAAACATTGATTAAACATTGATTAAACATTGATTAAACATTGATTAAACATTGATTAAACATAGATTAAAATGTATAATAAACATATCTGGACGGCAAAACATAGAACAGTATTTACGAAAAATCATTTAAAATTACATTAATTACATTTGTATTTATACACTACAAAACTGTTATATTTTTATAAATAAAAATTGAGGCATTTTTAAATGATTGAAACCAGATTGGCATTAATAAAGAAAGCCACATTTAATCAGTTGAATACTGCCTACGATCTAAATAATTGTCATTGTCATTTTTTTCTCAGTTAGACGAGGACGGCTTCAGCTTAATAGGTGACCGACAGATATTCGCTACTACAGGCGTGTTCAACGGAAACACAGTTGCCGTGAAATTCCTGCGCGACTACAAAATCGAACTCAACCGCGACAACCTCTACGAACTGAAAGCGATGAAAGACTTGTCGCACGATAATTTAGTGAAGTTCTACGGCGCATGCTTGGACATACCCAACTGCTTGCTGAACGAGTACTGTTCGAGGGGCAGCCTCCAGGACACGTTGGAGAACGAAAAACTCAAGTTGGACAGGATGTTTAGAATCTCTTTGATCATGGACTTGGCGCGTGGGATGCACTACTTGCATCGCAGCTCCATTAAGTACCACGGCGCTTTGAAATCTCCCAATTGCTTGGTCGATGCGAGGTTCAAATTGAAGATAGCAGATTTCGGGTTGCATTTCTTGAGGATTTACACGAATACTAACGAGGATGAAGATACGCATCAGTATTGGCAAAGTAAGTGTTTATGTGCCTATTTTTGTTCTTGCTTAGGATGTGTGTGTGCTATGTACCAGTTTTACTTAATGTCTAATAAATTCTACTGATGTTAATTAATTTGGTTACTTGGTTGAGCTTAAAATTTATTACTATGGATGACTTGTTGTTTCCTTGTAAGCTATATTCAGAATTAAACGAGTTATTGTTCAGTAAGCACTATAGTCTCAGGGGTGGGACGAAACTGGGTTGTCCAACAAGAAATTGCTCAAAGACGAAATTGAGTTCTCAGAAAAGAAATTGAGTTCTCAGAGAAGAAATTGAGTTTTTAGGGACGAAAGTGAGTTCTTCAGGACAACAATAAGTTCTCCGAAACTAAATTGAGTTCTCCGGGACGAAACTAATTTATCCGGGACAAAACTGAGATTCCATGGACGAAATGGAGTTTTTCGGGACGAAATGATGTTTTTCGGGATGAAATTTAGTTCTTCGGGACGACACCGAGTTCTCAGAGACGAAATTCAGTTTTCCAACAAGAAATTCAGTTCTCAAAGATGAAATTGAGTTCCCAGAGACAAAAGTGAGTTCTCCGAGGCAACATTAAGTTTTCCGAATTTAAATTAAATTCTCCGGGACGAAACTGAGTTCTCCGGGACAAAACTGAAGTTCCAGGGACGAAATGAAATTTGTCGGGACAAAATTGAGTTCTTCGAGACGACACTGAGTTCTCCGAGACGAAATTCAGTTCCCGGCACGAAATGAAGTTCTCTGGATGAAATAAGAGATCCCGGGACAAAACTGTGTTATCTGGGACGAAATTGAGTTCTCTGGAATGAAATTAATATTGAATTTTCCGGGACAAAACTGAATTGAAGACGAAGAAGATGAGCAGAAGGAATGACGTAGGAGGCGACGTTGAAGAAGCCTCTGAAGACTTGAAAACGAAGAAAAAGAGCCAAATTCTATTATCTCTAAGAAGTATTATTCTTAAAGACTGTTATTCCAAAGGACTATTGTCTTTAAATAGTATTACCCTTATGGACTGTAATCATTAAGAATAAGTATTATCCTTAAAGACTATGTTTTTATAGGACTCTCAAAATGTTTCTATCACTCTTAACTAACAGAAGAGCCCTTGAAGGTATAATTCTTATGTAGTAGTATTCTGAAATACTATTATCCTTAAGCTCTATTATCCTGAAGGACTATTATCTTTAAGGATTATTATCCTCAAGGACTATCATCCTTAAGAATAATTATCCTTAAGCAATGATCTACAAACTATGATCCTTATTTATAAAAACGAAAGTAATCGCATTTTTCTGATTTGGTATCTTTTTTTTTTATTATTCTGGAATGGATTTACATATTTCGTTATGTCTGACGTTTTGTCGCAATCCAATTATCATGATGGCTTTTTTGTACAATTTAATAAACTTCGTCACATAATTAAATGATGGCTACTAAATTCAAAAAGCATTTCGATCAAAAATTAATTGCGAAACTTCCACGACAACTCGAAATTGTTAAAAATCAAATCTTTCGAGTTGTATTTCTAATTAATAAATTTATATCTTTCCTCAAATTATGTAAGACTCGAATGAAATTTTAATTATATACAAGGTGTCTCATTAGTGCGTATTTGCTCGATATTTTAATTTGTGTTATAGACACGCAAACAAGCTAGTTTTTTTTTGTGAGAGAATGGTGAGAATGAACTTATCATAATTTAGGTAGGTTACGAATGATTTAATTTTTTTTTTAATTGCTCGCTTCAACCTTATAAAGGTTATTTGCGGGGAACTTTATTTGATCTAGCTTTTTACAATAAATTAAGGTTTCAGAAAAAGTAACAAATACATTTAAAATAATAATATTAGATAAGGCCCAGTTGGCTAAATTTTGTTAAGTAGGTTGCACTGTTGTATACATTTTATTACATTCTTAATATTCTTGAAGCACAAAATTTTCACTATGTTATTACCACGTAATGTCTCTTCTCTTTCTACAAAATATTCGACGGATAGCTACACTTCACACACTTCAAATCTAGGAGGTTCTTGCCTATTGAAAATATGCTGATGTGTAATCCGAGTATGTCCAATTCTAAGTCTAGATATAATTATTTGATGTTTTCTTCTAATGCCTGTATATTTAACGATTTCTATATAAGGATTAATTTCTTTTAATTTATTAGTTCTGCAAGGTTCCCATCGTGCTTTCCAGTTGTTATTTACTAAATATCTTACTTGATTATATACATCTTGGAACTGGACTTGATTTATTATAATCGATTGAAGGTTATCATGAGCTTTGCGTGCAATACAGTCGTTTTTTTCATTGCCTGTTATGCCACAATGTGATGGACATCATATAAATATTATTCTTTTGTGTTTTCTCTGTAGATGGAATAGTTCCGATTTAATTTTCATTAGGAGATAATATTGTGAATAAAGTTGTTGAATTCCTTTGATCGCACTAAGATAATCAGTAATTATCACATAGTTTCCATCAGCTTCTCTAGCCATTGAGAGGGCTTGAAGGATAGCGAAGAGTTCCCCGGTGTAGATGCTACAGCAGTCTGGTAGTATGTAGCTGCGGGGGTTGCCGTTTGTTGGTGCGAGTCCGATTCCAACACTATTCGGAGTTTTTGAAGCGTCTGTATAGATGCAGTTATAGCCACAATACTTAGATAATATGGAAAGAAAGTGTTGTTGACTTAAGGTCTGGGATGAGAAAGTTTTAGGGTAATGGAGAAGGTCGATAGGTGGAATTTTTTGTATAGTAATTGAATAAGTGCGATTAAATTCTATATAATTTTAAATGGTTTGAATGCGTTTAGAGAAGGGATGAAGTGATTCAGGTTTTGAATCAAAGTCGTACTGATTTGGATTGGAGAAAGTGTTTTGGTATACAGGATTATTTTTGTTCGCTGATATTCTCGGTGCATATGTCAGGCTCAAGTAGTCTCTCTCGGATATTAAGTGGAGGTTCACCAGACTCTACGTAGAGGCTTTCCACAGGAGAAGTTCTGAAGCACCCATTGCGATTCTAATAGCTGTATTATGAATTGAGTTCAGGTCTTTAAGAATAGAGTTTTTGGCGTTGCAGTATACTATTGAGCCATAATCTAGTTTTGATCTAATAGTTGCTCTGTATATGTGCATTAAAGATGTACAATCAGCACCCCATATGTGACTAGCCAAGGTTTTCATTAAATTTAGTCAAAGTGAACATTCCTTTTTAAGATTTTGTATATGCAAGTGCCATCGGAGTTTTGAGTCAAAGATAAGTCCCAGGAACCTAATTTCATTTACAAATTAAAGCGGCTGGTTATTCATAACTATCATAGGGTTAACAATATGGCGGTTTTGTGAAAAGACAATGCATTTAGTTTTTTCTGTCGAAAATTGGAGACCCTTTTTCCGAGACCAGTTTTCCAAGCTGTCCACTGCATTTTGTAGGAGTTTACCAGATGATTGAGTGTTCTTTCCAGTGATGTACATAACTAAGTCGTCGGCGTAGAGGCTAGCTTTTATTGGATATTTTATGTTTTTTAGGATATCGTTGATTGTTATGAGAAATAGAGTCATACTTAAAGCTGATCCTTGTGGATTTCCATTTTCTGGGTACTTTAGTTCTGATAACATACCATTTACATGTACTTTAAAGCTTCTGTTATGTAGAAAGTTTTTAATAAACCTTAACATATTTCCATTTATTCCCCACAAATTTAATTGTTTGACGATATCATATTTCCATTCAGTGTCATAAACATTTTTAATGTCGAAAAAAATTACTGTTACGTTTTCTTTGCTCAGAAATGCTTGATGGATCTCAGGACTCTAGGTTTATGAGATTGTCAAGTGTCGATCTATTCTTTCTAAAACCACTCCTGTTGAGGAATAATTAGTTTATTTTCTTCGAGAAGAAAGTCGTGAATTCAATATTTTTTCAAGTATTTTGCACATTGTACAGGTTAAAGATATCGGCCTATACGAGCTCGGGTCGGTTTTCTTTTTATTGGGTTTTAGAATTGGTGTAACATTGGATTCCGACCAGCTTCTAGGGAAGCATTGATCAAGAAATATTTTATTTAATATTTAGAGTAGATTTTGTTTCCCTAAGTTTGAAATGTTTTTAAGAAAAATGTAAGGTATGCCATCTGGTCCAGGGCTAGAATTTTTAGATTCATTTAGTACATTTGATAATTCGGTTAGTGAAATAGGATGGTTTAAGGGATCGTTTTGATCATTCGTTATTAAAATTTCTTGACTTTCTGCCTGATTTTTGAATAACAAAAACTCCGGATTATAATTTGAACTGCTACTTTGTTTTAAATATACATTTGCTAGAGTGTCAGCAATGGTTTGGTTATCGTTTATATGGGTATTATTGTAAATCAATGTGGTTATAGCAGAATTGGTTTTATGGCCTTTTATACTTCTGATTTTTCCATATATCTGAGATAGGGGTAGAACTATTTATAGAGGGAACGTAACTTTGCCAACTTTGTTTTTTGCTGTCTTTAATTATACGTCTCATTCTGGCCCTTGTTTCTTTAAATTTGTTAGCATTTTCTGTAGTGTGTTGACTCTTTAAATTTTGTAACGCTTTTTTGTTAGATTTTATGGCTTCGTCGCAGTTTTTGTTCCACCAAGGAACATTAGTACGTTTGATTGTTTTTGTTTTACCTATCGATTCTTCTGCAGCCCTATTAATTATTGCTGTGAAATTTTCAACTATGGAGTTCTCAGTGTCTAAAGTCAAATCTTCATGGGATAAGTAGCCATCAATCAAATCGGAGAATTTTTTCCAGTTGTCAGTACTGGCATTTTTCAGTTTCCATTTGCTAATTGATGGTTTAGACGGTTCGCTATAAAAATTTGAGTGAATAATGATAGGACAGTGGTCACTGTCATAAGTATATGGCGAAACTTCCCAGGATAGAACTGGGAAAGTCTTAGAATTACAGAGGGAGAGATCTATAGCTGAGTGGTTATTTGGTTGGATTGATTTTTGTTATTTCATCGGTGTTCAGCAATATAAGATCTGAAGAGTTGATAAAGTTTTCCAGAATTCTTCCTTTAGCATCGGTTTTTGGACAGCCCCAGATAGTATTGTGCATATTAAAATTTCCTACTAGAATGTACGGTTTGGAGAATTGGCGAACAAGGTGTTCAAGTTGTATTGATGTGACTGCTTTGTTTTCTGGTATGTATTACTTTGAGTTTGCATATTTACTCTCACACATATAGCTTGAAAGTCAGTTATTAAGAGTAATTCTTCGGCGTCTATGTTTTCTTTGACTTATATTGAGACACCTCCACTTGCTCTTTGTACATCAGTCCTGATTCGATGGTATTGTTAATATTGTTTTAGTGTATAGACTTGGTTTGTTTGAAAATTGGTGTAAGTATGTAGTCGATAGATGGAAACAAAATGCCTTGTTCTTTAGTTGGATATGAAAAACGAGTGAAGATGCTTGAGTACGGGACATTGGTAGTGGAATTACTTTGGTTGCCCCTGATGTCAGGGGCGGCTATTTGACTTCTATCCATATCTGTTCGTTTTACCCAGAACAAATAATTTCAGCCTGAATACGGACCTGCCGAATCTTCACAATATTCAAGTACAATATTGCAATCGGTATAAGTTTTTGTGGAATAGATAAAGACTAGCAAAAAATGGCTTTCGGTAAATCTCACTAATTCACTCTGAACTCTATCGCTGTTAGGCACAGAATGAATTAAAAATTGTTTAAGTTACAAATTTATAAGATACCAAAACGACGAATAATGATAATAAATAGAAATGTTTCATTTTATACCGAGTGTCTTGAAATCTGTCATAAATGTGGCTCATTTTAAGTTCAATTTTGAATTCTAATTATCTCGACTGAAACCTCAAAATTTCTTACTATTGAATGTCATGAAAATAAAAACGAGTAGCTGTACGAAAAGATGACTAGTAAAAGATGACTTAAACTTGAAAAAAAAAAGCAAAAAAAAACAATAATATCCTCAAGTGGTAGCACAATAATCCCCGAAGGTTTCAGTGCCACCACTCTTGAGTCTTAGGAGTCCGATTTAGATGATAATAAAGATTAAAAAAATGAAGAAAAATTATTAAAGATGTAATGAATTCGTTAATAATATCAAGCTTTTAGTTATCTTACAACAATTGCCTCTTGCTATACTTCTATTCTGATACTTTATGAGTTTTTCCATTAATGGGTAATCGATATTACAAAAATTGTCATCGCAAATCAGGAACTAGATTACAGGAAATTATTTTGTGTGCTGAACAAACTTCGTATGCGATTCCAAGACTCGGCAAACGTTTAGGAGTACGATTACCAGTACGTGCCAGAAATGAACAGATGTCGATTAATTTCTGGAATAGTGTAAAGCCCAATTTTACCACCAGACTTCGACAACACCTCGGTAATTATATAATTATTGTAGACGTTCGAGTGGCAGAGCACTAGCTTCCCGCAAATAAATTTTACCCATTTCAATCGAAGCTATTCCGTACAGGTTGTCCGTGAAAATTATGCAAGATAATACACAATACTCGTTTTGCAAAAATAAATATGGCACTCAAAATAATTTACATTACTAGGAACATTGTGACGGGACTTATAAGTCTCTCGATGAGAGGAATGTTTTTAAAAATAATTTTTATTACTATTGCTTGAATAAAAACCCAAAATAAATTATATTTAATATTTAATGATAATGTTATCGTTACAAGCTATTATATCAGACTGACTTTATTTTATTAAAATGTTACTATGAGAAAAATTTAGAGTAAGCAATTCACACACACTTCACATAGGTTCAGTAACACTGCCGGCAACCTGATACCGTTTTCCTCTAAAAGGTAGATGGGGTCATCGATCATAACTCGGGTTGGTTTGATACATTGTTGATTTGAGATATCTTCATAAAAAAATTCTTTATAAATTTACATGTATCCATCAACAATGAGGTCACCTGAAGATGGATCAAAGGTCACGCCACATCGAAAAGTAACCATTATAGGCAGAAGGTGGGTTTTGCAAGCTGGATGGATAATAAAGAATAAGCTTTAACCAGTACGGTTTTATATACTATTATATATTCCAAAGTAGACAAACCTTTTTTGAAGTAAACGTGACAAGTATATATTTTTTATTGACAACTAACAACAGTTAACTACATAAAAATATGAAATATATAATTCTAATAACTGTCTTGCCGATTCACTAGCCCAGAAAGCAGCCAACGATATACTTTTTGACGCTTCTATTGGCCTGACAAAATCGGTAGTGACAGACCTAATTGAACAACATTCCCTTCAAGGAAAGATGAGATGAAACAAGAAACTGCAGAGTTGCCAGAAAGCTCTTAAGTTATCCTGAGAACACTGCAGCATACAAATACTTGACTATGACTAGACAGAATCTGCGCCTAGTCACAGGCATTCTGACTGGTCATTGCTAAGTACGAAACCATCTCCATATCATGGGGCTGTCAGAATCCGCACTCTGCAGAGGGTGCGAACAAGATCAGACGATCGAGTATGCCCTTGCTTGACGCTGTCATTTATTAGAAGATTTGTGTTCGGCGAGTATCGGCTATAGGGAAAGTAAAAGTTGGAAAGGCTTTTGGTAGGTAGAGAGGGGGTAAACGTCAAAACACGTCGGACGGCTTCGAGAATTTCGCAGTAATGTTTACCTGCCAGTGTCGTTTCATAGAATAAGTAATTTTAAGTTGTTATCGGCGGAACTGGACACTCGCATGTATTTATGAACTATAAATAATTATTAAACATGTATTATAATATTCAAATCATAATTTTAGAAAATATCAACAGCTATTCACAATTTATTAAACTATTTACTCGAAATTGTTATTATTAACATCTATAAAATAATTTTGTGCGCGAATGTATCGCGTCCACTTCGGTGAGATTCGCAGCAAACCTGTCAATTTATGTGTATAAAGTGGGAGAACTGGCAAAAGCCTTTCCAACTTTTACTTCTGTTCTAACACTTGCCTCTTGGCGACGTTGTCAACTACGTTAAATCTGTAGACTAGCTCACGAGCTAGGAGGTGCCTATCATCTTAAGAGGATGCACAATGGGCCTAATGAGGCCTAAGTGCCGTGGGGTAACCCACCTTCCACACGTTACAGATACATAGATACAGATGTAACTTAATTACTGATTTTTAACTCTTTAAGTTCTGATTATGGTCAACAGTAGCCGAAACTAGTCATCCTATGTAGTAAATAACAGAGTTTTATTTCCCTATCAATGAGTTCTAGACTTACAAATTAATTATTAGTCCTATAAAAGAGTCAATAATAATCTTACAAATCACCACAAATGTGTTACCAATAAATAATAGTCTTGTAAATATCATTAATATACTTAAAAATCACCAATTGTCTTATAAATTAACAATAGTCTTAACAAATCACCGGTAGTTTTGCAATCACTAAGAGTTGCAAATCATCAATGTTCGTACAAATCACTGGTAGCCTTACAAATCACTATTAGTCTTACAAATCAGTGGTAGTCTTATAAATTATTGGTAGTCTTACAAATCCCTGGTAGTTTTATAAATAATTTTTTATTGCTTTTATAAATTTTTTGTGCTGTATTGCTGGTAATAAAATTAAACCATTCTTTCCAGGGCAATTGTGGACTGCCCCAGAACTTCTGAATGTGAAATTAGCAGCTCCGGTGAAATCGTCACAAAACTCCGAGCTTTTGAATATGAAGAACATTGTCATAGAAGGAACACAGAAGGGCGACGTCTATTCCTTCGGCATTATTCTGCATGAGATTATGTTGAGAAAGGGGGTCTTCTATTTGGGAGAAGAGAACGAGAAAAGCGCAAAAGGTGAGTCTTTCTCAATACTGTCTAACTAAGTTTTTCACCCTTTTCGAATCGTTTCCTGTAGATGGCTTTTTGCGCAACGAATTTCTGTCAGCAGCGTGATAAGTTGACATAGAAATCGAAAAGATATTTATCATTTTTGAACGATTTTCACACGTTAAATTGTATTTTCATTTTCCTTTCGGCTGTTGGCAGACGTCAGATATAGAATTCTAAATGAATTGCGATTTTCGCAGTTCTCTTTACGAAATTCGCGTGAAAAAATTAACTAAACATACGTTTTATTCCTTGTTGTTTTTTTGGCTGCACTATGAGATTTGCATTAGAGACTGTGCAAAAATATATACGTTAATATACTGTAACAATTGTTTAATTAAAAAATAGTTTATTTATTTATTTAAAACCGTTTATTTATAATTTATTTACACTACGTACTAACTAATTTAAACTTAGTCACTAATTTATTGAACACATATTTAATAATTTACTTATACTAATTTATATTACATTTACTTTATCGATGTTCTCACAGCTATAACTCGACTTCAACTGACTGACTCTGTGCAACACATTTATATATAAATTGATGTATGCGCTAGGTTATTCCCACCAATTATTAGACAGGCGTCTCTGGAAATTCCTCGAATTTACGTCTATAAAGGCTGGGTTCTAGTAAATTCCCGAATGAATGATTTATACTCAATATCTGTGAGCATAGACATACCTATAGTTGAGTACAGGGAATTTATTACCTTCGTCAATTATTTCTGGTTTTGGGGACAGGTGGGGTCGTAAAAAGGCCCAAACTAGAATGAGAGACACAAAGCATCAGATCATACCCAGATTCGTTAGAAATGGCTCTCATTACAGTAACGATAATATACGATAATATACGATAATATACGATAATATACGATAATATACGATAATATACGATAATATACAATAATATACTATAATATACCATAATATACCATAATATATTAAGATATCATCACTTAACTTACCTCGACTAGCTCTTTATATACTTAATTTGAAATCCGAGTATGAATTCCTCTTTCTCAGGGTTTCAAGAAAAATTAATTTTATTTTATTTAATTTTTAAGTTATAATTTCTTAACTTGTTTAATTTTAATTATTTTATTTAAATTTTGTTTTTTTTTATATTAACATTGAATATTTGAAAAAATTTCATTGATTTACCTGAAAAATGAATAAAAATAGACAAATAGGGACCGTGCGTGAAATATAGAGGCAGCACTACTGCCGAAGTTAGCCCTCTCTAGTGTTTAATTTTAGAATTAAATGGGGTAAACATTGCAAGTAAATAATAAAGAATATTTTTTAAAATATTAAATATAGTTAAATATAGATACCGGCCCGTACCAAACAATCGGGTACATGGTCAAAATGATAGAAAATGTAAAACATTATTAAAATATGGACATGTATATACATTTTAAGCAAAAATATTTATATGGCTAATTGACAATAAATTGTAAAGTTGTACCTTAAACAAGTGTATCCAATGTCAAAATATCGTTATTTAGTAACACTGAATTTAAAAGTATTACAATAACATTTCAAAAATGTAAATTAATAAAAAAGATTGGGAATAATAATAATTCTTTTTAGATTTATGTTAGTCGAAATGTCATTCATCCACTGACGTTTATGAGACGCCCAATGATATACATATTATAGATTGCTCACCCATCTATAAAAAAAATACGAAAAGCGGGTTGCAATGTGCCTTTCCTAGTGCTCACTTAAATAGAGCCGTTCTAGCCCAAATGTGTTTTAATATAAAATTTCAGTATTTTAATCTTTAGAAAAAGAAAATAATTAAAGTTTTACTTCAAGACACGTTATTATGTATTTGGAAAGTTGAGTTTCCATGTAGTTAAATAATATTAAGAGATCTAAACAATTTTTAAAACAGATGGATATAAATAATTTTAGACTACTCTCATTTCAGAAATTACACTACATAAAATACATAATTGCAATATGTAATACAATTTTGAAAAGGAAATGTAAACAACTTTGATATGAGATATAAACAACTTTGGTGAGAGTTGTAATAGGACACATCTATTATTCTGAATAATGTTTAATGGTAATGTCACTAAAAAAATTTACAAAAATCACTGGATTTTTAATATTTTAAAGTTTGTTGCAGTCTCTTTTGATAGTACTTGTAATGTACGTATTATTTATGATTTGTTTATTTTAGTAATAAATGAGAAATAGTTAATAAATTGTAAAGAGGGCTATGATATTTTTGTCAAATTGGACATACTTATTTCATAGTAACATTCTACGTTAGTTTTAATCAACAGAATAAACTATTAATTATCTGTAAAATTATATTTATATAAAATGTTCATTTAAATATGTAAAAATCTTAATGACAATAAAACACTAAAGACTCTAATTTCTAAACCGGTTCTGTAAATGTTCAAGTGCTCAAAATTGATACAAAGCTAGATAAAAAAAAATTTGCCCAGTGAAATACGCTTTTCGTCATCTGATTTACATATGGATAAGCAATCTATGTAATGTAATTATGTATATCATTGGGCGTGAGACACAATTCTGCTCTGTGAAAATTTATAAAATTTCTTTACTATTGAATGAAATCCAGGTTTCCAAAGTAATGTGTTCGTACATCCACGGATGCAACAAGTTTTTTCGATAATGATATTACGAAAATAATTCGACTTTATTTAATTAATAATTATTAAACAATAAATGCCATATAAAATATTAATAAATACCCCCCATAAAGTTCAAATTTTTTTCACCAGTTAGCGTTAAAGTCTTGACGCACGGCCCCTATAGACAATTTGCTACATGACCTTTGTTTAATTTACACTATTTTATGAAATAAAAATATAACCATGATCGAAATTAACCATCAAATTAATCCAGATGATGAAAGATCCTTAAAACTAAAATTATATTTTAAACACACACCATTCATACTGATTATGACGTCATTTCAACTGAGTTCAGCCAATTTTTGACATTTGATCTATCCTTTAAAATTATATTAACCTTGGTAGTCGATTTATGACATGATAATTGATATTTATAGTAGGCCGAATAGCCCTGGCAGCTGAGGCCTACACAAATTGAAAAGAAGAAGAATTATATTTATAGTAACAAACAGTGTTGCCAGTCTAGTACAATTGTACTAGATCTAGTACATTATTTAAGAATCTGGTACTCTAGTACACTCGAAGCAATATCTAGTACTTTTTCTTGTTTTAGCCTGTTTCCATTTGATATGTAAAATATATTGTTGGGTTCTTCCTTGTTTGTATGTTTGTGTTCGTTCTCGTTAAAAGCTTTTTTTTGTTTATTTTTTCAATGAACCAAACCATCACAATTCGAAAAATATGGTACAATTTATACAATCTAGTACAATTTTATCGATTCTGGTACATTTCTTAGACAAATCTGGTACATAACAAAAATATATTCTGGCAACACTGGTAACAAATATAACCACACAAAAAAAGAATTATTAGAATGAAATAAACCAAACTTCTGTTGAAATGAATAAATTGGTAAGTATAATTAAATAAATTAGTTAATAATAATATCAAAGTTCATTACATGCAATTTATATAAGATTGTATACTCACTATAGTTCTTATAGGAATTACACGACAAAGTGTCCATCCCACTTGTCTTCAAAACTCTTGCAAACACCAAGTATATCCATAAATGCAAGTTCTTCTGCTGGGCAGGCTCCAAAAATTGTCAGGATACAACACCAATACTTATTTTAATCAGGTAAAGAAGTTTACGCCTTATACATTTCTTTAAATTTGACAAGTCTATTTTAATTCAACTGAATTATAATACTAACTCTATTTACTGGGTTTTGGGTTTATTTAAAAATAGTTGAATGAATCAAAAAGGAAACCCGCTTCCTTTCAAAATTGTTTTTCTCTCCATAGTAACTTTAGACCAGTAGCTTTTTAAGTACATTGTTATTACAAAATCATATTATGAAACGAAATTTAAACAAAATAATTGTCTTTTTAAATAATAAATAATATTTGGTTATTACTTGATTGATAAATTAAATATTTTACATTATCAGTTTTATGCAATACCTTTTAAATTTGAAACCAATCAGGACAAACTTCCCATATGCCATATGTATTGTCATGTTGACATGATATAGGGTGTCCCATTGTATGATAATTTTTATAAACTTGAATACATTTTTTTTTATATAAGTAGTATAAAATTTTATTTGGATAAAATAGATATCATAACAATACCCTAATATACGATACTATACAATAAGATACGATAATATACTATAATATAATATAGGATAATATAAGATAATATAGGATAATATAAGATAATATAAGATAATATAAGATAATATAAGATAATATAAGATAATATAAGATAATATAAGATAATATAAGATAATATAAGATAATATAAGACAATATAAGACAATATAAGATAATATAAGATAATATAAGATAATATAAGATAATATAAGATAATATAAGATAATATAAGATAATATAAGATAATATAAGATAATATAAGATAATATAAGATAATATAAGATAATATAAGATAATATAAGATAATATAAGATAATATAAGATAATATAAGATAATATAAGATAATATAAGATAATATAAGATAATATAAGATAATATAAGATAATATAAGATAATATAAGATAATATAAGATAATATAAGATAATATAAGATAATATAAGATAATATAAGATAATATAAGATAATATAAGATAATATAAGATAATATAAGATAGTATAAGAAAATATAAGATAATATAAGATACTATAAGATAAGATAATATAAGATAATATACGATAATATAAGATAATATACGAGATTATTATTAAAAAGAGACACCATCACAAAATAATGTGCTACTAAAGGATGACTTGTACCAAAATTACAATTTTTAAGATTAACCGATAATCAAAAAAA